ACAAATGATACGTTTCTTATGTGATATATCCCGAATAACGACCTGTTTTAATCTTCCAGCATATGTATACACAAATATACAACTCCAGTCTAGGAACTTCCCGACATATTACTTTTCATACGACACCAGCGCTTCTGACAGAGCTAAAATTCTTCTGGACGACAGAAAGACTTTCAGACTCCTACGACCTGGATTGACGGGAGAGGAAGGAACTGTTTCCATCGAGTCCAACGATAAACCGGGTCACTTCTTCCGGTACCGCGCAGACACCAACGCCGTAGATCTCTGGGGAACCGATCCGCAAACTTACAGTCCAGAAACTTTCTACGAGGACGCTACCTTCAAAATTCGATACGGCACCTGGTTTACCGGGTATTTGGGGTTTGAGGCAGCGTATAATCCAGGGAAATATATTTCTCACGGAAACTATCTTTTGTCTGTCGCCACCTTTGCCGATACAAGCGGTTTTAAAAATAACGCTGCTTTCAAAATAGGTATGTAAAAATTTATTAAGGGGAAGTGGTCTTTATTAACTAATCATTGACGGTAAAACGTATTCCTAATTTTAATTTACATTTACAAAAATTGCAACTCCGACTTATAGATTAAGTCATGTTTTATTTATCATTGTTTTCAAATTAAATAACCGAAGCCAAAATTTTGAATTTTCTCGTTCGCCTAGCTGTCGAAATAATCAATTGGGGAATGATAAGATATATTGTGACCAATGGTTTACCGTCAATACATTTTATTCTAGAATTCCTTTTGAAGGCATGATTCTTTTTAGGCTAAAATGATAAAAAGTCGACAGTGATGAAATGAAAGGGAATAAGGGACACTTGCTTAGTTTCTTTTCTAAAAGTTAACCTTTCCTTTTACAGTTCCAGCTCCAACCTATCTTTACACAGGCGTTAGAATACAGTCTCAAAACCTCCAGTCATATTATCTGTCCTACGATGGCAACAACTACTGCCATATTATCAACGGTGATTCCAAAACCTTCAACATTTGGAGTCCCGGTCTAACCGGAGTGGCGGGAACGGTGTCCATCGAATCCGTTGACAAGCCTCATTGGTTCTTTCGGTACAAGATCTCTAACTCGGCCTACGCCAATCTTGAATACCGACCATCCCCAGCACAAGGCAGTTCGAATTTTGATGAGGAGGCGACCTTTATCATCAGGCAGGACATTTTACACACCGGTTGGTTTGCTCTGGAAGCTTCTACGATGTCTAACTACTATCTTCGCCATTCAAATTATCGTATGTACCTACACCATAATGTTCATACGTCGGCTTCTGCTGCCTACCGGTTTGTTTAGGTACGAATATTTTCGATTAACTTTCGCCACAACGGGTGGTTTGTCTGGAGGCTGAGACTTAATATTCGGGTATCATCTCCGACGTTCAGGTTATCTGATGTATCTTGATCATACTGCAGACAGACCTGATGATTAAAATCACCGTTTCCTTTAATGTCGTTTTCACAAGATATCGGTTTTCAACGAGTGACTATCCGGCATCTTACTCGATTGACGTGATTGAAGACCTTATTTGTATATTGTGGTTTCTTCTCTTTAAAATAATACCTAAAACTTTCAGTGATATTGTCTGTCTAATATGCGAGCTGTTAAGTGCTTTAAAGACTTTGTAATGTGTTGTCAACTATCACTTTTCATCTTTGTAACAAACCTTGCTGTCAAGTTTTAGAATAGATGCAGTTTGTTCAATTGGTTTCGACTCAGACCAAAAAGTCTGGACATCAGTTCATGCCAGTTCATGTTTTTTATCATCTAAAATGGATCTCGTGAGGACAAGCTTCCATCAACTTCGCAGCAATGCTACCAGCAATGAAATGACTCGAAATGCAAATCTGAGTATCGTCTGCAAATATTGCCGCATTAAGCCTCTAAATTGACAGATATTTCTTTGCGACAAAACAGTTTACATGGTTGTCGGTAATTTTATTTATTTATTTATTTTTTCATTTTTCTTTGTAGTTTTCAGTTTTTATTTCTACCGTTTATCGACTCGTCAATACTTAACATTGTTATTAAGAGAGTATAATTCATGGTGGCCTTGAATATTGGATAATGACATATCGATTTTTTTTCGATTTTTTAATTGGTAGGCTAATAGCAACCAGGCAGTTATCTATAGATAGATGTAAACGTAGGCCTATTTGGTCGATTCGATGGAGGCGTTAATGCCATGCATATGCCAATTTATAGGGTCTAAAACTGGGAGATCTTTCGTGACAAGTTATTTGGGAACCCTGTATATGCATTATACAAAGAAAAAAAGACAAAAGAAATAACGCATACCAAAAGTCAAAGCGAGATTATAACAAGGCAGCAAAGCTGTCAAATGTACAGACAAAAAGCAATAAAAAATGATACACAAAAAAAGGATATTGTCAATTTTGATGCAATAATGCATTATGCTTAAATGCAAAGTCAACATCAAATTTCAATTCTGCACACCATGTAATACTGATGCAAGTAAAAGCATAAGGCTTCAGGCCCATTAGACTTCACACTTAGAAACTGCCAGAATGACAAAAATGAATATTTCACAAAAAAATTGCATTAATTCAATAAAAAAAAAATGATAATCCAATAGAGCTGGTTTTCTTATTTAAGGTGTATGTCAATCCTAAGGATCATTCTTGTGAGTTAAAAAAATAATAAGTAACACAGTTTTCTTTTTGTCATAACGTTATATAATAATAATAATAATAATAATAATAATAATAATAATAATAATAATAATCTTTATTGGAGAATCGCAACCCGAAGGTTGAAGTTATACAATTATATATAAATATTCAAGTGAAGGAAGCCTGGTCATTTTTACACTGGTGCACTCCGTAGACGGTCTCACCTACCTGGGGAGCATACAGCTCGGCTGCCATATTAGGCGCTCATAGCTAATATATCATTTCTGCACTGCCTGACCAGGCCCCTGCTTCAACCCCTTAGTGCTGAGTGCCAAGCGGGGAGACAGCAGGTACCGTTTATAAAGGACTGGTATGTCCCCGGACGGGGTTTGAATGCACAAAGTAGGCTTTTTGTCAATTTTGATGCAATATTACGTAATGATTAACTGTATAATTACCACCAATTTTTAATTATCTTCTTTTAATAACATGTACAAAATTTGATTACCACTGGGCTTCATGCCCGTGGGAGTTCCAAGCCCCACACTGAAAAAGCCAATATGTGAAAGATAACAATTTCACAAAAATGTACAACAGAAAAAGAAGCCAATTAGACTGCTTTGTCAACCCAGGCTGCATTTTAGTCCTGGGTTTCCTTCCTGTAAGTTTAAGAAGAGTAAGTGACAAGGTTTTAGGGTTTTCTTCATTTTTGATGCAATATTACATAATGCTTAACAGCATAATGGCCATCAACTTTTTAATAATAAGATAAAAGTATCATAGGTATTCAGAAAATGTGACTAGCAAAAGTCTTCAAAGCCATGAAAGATCAAAGTCAAACCTTGAAAATGCCAAAAGGTAAACTAGATAACTGTACTGAAATGAGTTTATTTCCATTTTCAACACCTTTTTTTACAAAATAATCAATCTACTGTCATTTTTATATGATCAACTAAGAAAATTGTTGAAATAGGAAAAATATCAACAGAACAATTTTATATGCTCTATTGGCTCCATTCTAAGATTCTAAACATAGTGAGTGATTGAATCTGACAAACTGCTATGATATGAGATTATTTACATTTTTGACACTCTATTGCACAATGCACGATAACAGGTTTACCATCATAGTTATATTATCAACTAACAATGTTGTTAAGATGTAGAAATTGTCAAAAGAACACTTTGACATATCTGATTAGTTCAATAATGAGACTGTAAACATACCTTAGAATTGATTCTGAGAAAACCCCACTTATATTCAGAAGTAAGGCATAACTTCAACAAAACTGAGCCAATCAAGCTGATTTTCGAAGTCAGCCTGTATTTTAGTAAGACTGTTCATTCCTGAGAATTTCAAAACGATAGGTTGATCAGTTTTCCCTGAAATGTGTAATCAGTGTTGCATATATGCTGAAAAAGGCGAAAAAACAGCATAAATTTTGAAAAAATGGCCCAATCATGCTGATTTATTATGAACATTCATCAGTTCTGTAAGTTTCAAGCCAAGAGGTAAATTGGTTTTCCACTTATCGTGTTATCGGTGTTGCATATAAACGCAAAAAAAGAGCATAGTTTTTTAGAAAATGATCCTGCTGATTTTCGAACTTGACCTGCGTATTATGAAAATTCATCATTTTTGTAAGGTTCAAGCCAAAAAGTAAAGGACTTTTCAACCCCTATCACTTTCGCAACAACTTAAGTACTCATAATAATGATAAGAAAGTAAAGAGCGCCAAATTTTGTTTCCTGACTGAAATAAACCCGTGTCCTTAAATGCTTTTCTTATATCGTCCAATTAAGTTGCGGTCTCTATGGCCTGGGTCCTATTTTCGCTTGAAGTTAAATCGAATTTTTGTTGTAGTCTTTATCCAAATATACGTTTCCTTTTTATCCGTCCTCGCCCGTTTTACCATGTCAAAAGGTTACTGATTTATTTGGTAGCCGCTTTACTGTGACAATGGCCAATCGACTACTTTTTTTTATTTGTTAAGGTTTCAAAAGCTAATTATCCGAATACAAGAAACATAATTGTTTCTTTGCCATTGTGATCCCTTCTATATCGATAAAGGGACATTATGTGCAATGCTGTTTTACGTCCTTCAAAAAACAAGAAAAGTTTCGAATTTAAGCTATTAAAACCCAATATAGGTAAAGTATACTCATAAAAATATTGTGAGAGAAATCTCAATACTGCTTTATGAACAGAGCCAATAATCAAACGCAAGACTAAACGAATCTTAAATGAAAAATAAAGTGGCGGGGATCTGTTAATCTTATCGTTTATGACTAAGGTCCTGATACGTATAAAAACGTCGCAGCGCGCAATCGGCAAAGAAAGGCATTGGCGGATCACCTTCATTCAACATGTCTGAAACGCTCCGTCTGATTCTCGTGTGTTCTTTCTTTTCCGTTGGGTGGGGCACAGTGAGTTTTTTGCAGCGTCCTCCTAACTGCGATAAAGACGTACGGCTCGCGTATTCCGTTCTCAGCACACACGACGTTTATAACAGACTCCAGTGCTACTTGAAATGCCTTGAGGATCCGGCATGCCTCTCCTTCAACTTTGAAGATGTGTCTGATAACAAGACTCGAATTTGCGAGTTGAATTCAAGGATTGTGGACAAGAGAGGAAATAATATGGAAGCGAAGGAAGGCTACGCATACTATGAAAAGGTTATTTAAATTCTTTGACATTAATATTCAATGATTTATATAACAAGTTATCCAGTCATTCAAATATCTTAGATATTCTCTTGTCTACTGTTTTTGGAAATCGACAGTTCACTTTCTATACTCGATCGGAAAAATGAAAACGAATGAGTTAAACATCTTTACATTACTATCGTTATAACGCTAAGAGATGCATGGAGACCATCTTTTATTAAAATCTCAACGAGTTGATATGCATTTAAATAGTTTATAGCCAATCTTTTGTCGATTGTAGGCAGATGGATTTGGCAAAGGCATCCAAAGTTGCAGTATTACTGACAAGTGTAAGTAGCTTAATCCTATAATTATTACATGTATAAGAAACTTTTTCATGTTTTATCGTCTTCTTATATTGAACTGTCTCCATACAAATAAGACGTTTCTTATGTAATATATATCCCGAATAACGACCTGTTTTAATCTTCCAGCATATGTATACACAAATATACAACTCCAGTCTAGGAACTTCCCGACATATTACTTTTCATACGATACCAGCGCTTCTGACAGAGCTAAAATTCTTCTGGACGACAGAAAGACTTTCAGACTCCTACGACCTGGATTGACGGGAGAGGAAGGAACTGTTTCCATCGAGTCCAACGATAAACCAGGTCACTTCTTTCGGTACCGCGCAGACACCAACGCCGTAGATCTCTGGGGAACCGATCCAGCATCTTACAGTCCAGAAACTTTCTACGAGGACGCTACCTTCAAAATTCGATATGGCACCTGGTTTACCGGGTATTTGGGGTTTGAGGCAGCGTATAATCCAGAGAAATATATTTCTCACGGAAACTATCTTTTGTCTGTCGCCACCTTTGCCGATACAAGCGGTTTCAAAAATAACGCTGCTTTCAAAATAGGTATGTAAATATTTGTTAAGGTGAAGTGGTCTTTATTAACTAATCACTGATGTTAAAACGTATTCCTAATTAAGATTTACAAAAATTACAACCCGAAATAATAGATTAAATCAAGTTTTTTTAGCAGTGTTTTCAAAATAAACAACCGAAGCCATAATTTTGAACATTTTCTCCTTCGCCTAGCTTTCGAAATAATCAATCGGGGAATGATAAGATATATTATGACCAATGGTTTACCGTCAACACATTTTATTCTTGAATTCCTTTTGAAGGCATGATTCTTTTTAGGCTAAAATTATAAAAAGTCGACAGTGATGAAATGAAAGGGAATGAGGGACACTTGCTTAGTTTCTTTCCTAAAAGTTAGCTTTTCCTTTTACAGTTCCAGCTCCGACCTATCTTTACACAGGCATTAGAATGCAGTCCCAAAACTACCAGTCACATTATCTGTCCTACGATGGAAACAACTACTGCTACATTATTAGCGGTGATTCCAAAACCTTCAACATTTGGAGTCCCGGTCTAACCGGAGTGGCGGGAACGGTGTCCATCGAATCTGTTGACAAGCCTCATTGGTTCTTTCGGTACAAGATCTCTAACTCGGCCTACACCAATCTTGAATACCGACCATCCCCAGCACAAGGAAGTTCGAATTTTGATGAGGAAGCGACCTTTATCATCAGGCAGGATATTTTATACAGCGGATGGTTTGCTCTGGAAGCTTCTACGATGTCTAACTACTATCTTCGCCACACGGGATATCGTATGTACCTACACCATAATGTTCATACGTCGGCTGATGCTGCGTATCGTTTTGTTTAGGTACGAATATTCTCGATTTTAACTTTCGCCACAACGGATGGTTTGCTCTTGAGATTGAGACTTAATATTCCGGTATTATCTCCGACGTTCAGGTTATCTGATGTATCTTGATCATGCCACAGACCTGATGATTAAAATTGTTGTACTCTTAAATATCGTTTTCACAAGACATCTGTTTTCAATGAGCGACTCGCCGGCATCTTACTCGATTGGTGTTTGAAGACCTGATTTGTATATTGTGTTTTTTCTCTTTAAAATAATACATAAAACTTAGAATGATATTTTCTGTCTAATATGCGAGATGTTAAGTGCTTTTAAGACAGTGTTATGTATTGTCAACTATCACTTGTCATTTTGGGAACAAACCTGGCTGTCAAGCTTTGGACTAGTTGCAGTTTGTACAATTGATTTTGACTTAGACCAAATAATAATAATAATAATAATAATAATTCATTGTCATATTTATACAAATATAAAATGAAAATTGGTATGATCTGTCGATAAAATGTGATACAGTGGAATTATTAAAATACATTTTGTTCATTAAAAATATGTACTGCTGATGGATAAAAACTATTCTTAGTGCGCGTGGAGGTTGCTTTTAATGACCGCAGTCGGCTTGTTGACATATGCATAAAAAGTCTTGCCACCAGTTCATGCCAGCATGTTTTTATCATCTAAAAATGGATCTCGTGATAACAAGCCTACATCAAATTCACAGCAATGCTACCAACAACGCCATGACTCGAAAGGCAAATTTGAGTATCGTCTGCAAATATTGCTGCATTGTCTTTTAATGGACATTTCTCGCTTTTCAACAAAACAGTTTACTTATTTGTCTGTTAAATGGGTTATTGTAGTTTTCAGTTTTTAGAGCTACCGTTTATCGACTAGTCTGTACTTAACACTGTTATTAATAATGGTGACCTTTTATATTGGGTAATAACATATCGATTTTTTTTTTCGATTTTTTAATTGGTAGGCCAATGACAACCAGGCAGTTATCTATAGATAACGATGTAAATTGATTGATGATAATACATAGGCCTATTTTGCTTGCTAATGTAGTCGGTTGGCCATTGTCACAGTGTAGCGGCTTTAAAATAAGTACATTATGATTATGATTAAAAACGAATACTTGGTTCAACTTGATTTATTAAAATTTTTTGCAAGCGAAATTAGAACCCAGGCCATAGCGACCGCAACTTAAGTGGACGATATAAGAAAAGCATTTAAGGACACAATTCGGGTTTATGTGTATCAGGAAACAAAATGTGGCGCTCTATACTTTCTTAGCATAATTATGAGTACCTTAGTTGTTGCGAAAGTGATAGGGGATGAAAAGTCCACATGACACCGGCCATGTTGTAAACAGTAAATTTGGGTGACGCAGGGACGTAAGTACACTGTCCCGAGATCCCTATATCAACAGCGCCATCTAGGTTGGCACTGGCACTACTTCCCACTACCACTTCTAATAATTGTGTAGCTGCGTCCAGAAAAATACTCTGTTAGCTTTTTATTAGATGACATAATCTAACATCCACTTTTGGTACGTTTTTTACTTCTCTTTTCTTCTTGTCCGTATATAATACATACACAGGGTTCCAAAAAGCTTGTCTTGGAAGGTCTAACAGTTCTATACTGTATAATGTGGCATTGCAATAACGCCACCTCCATCAATTTATTCGTTTTTGTTTCAAAAGCTAGTTATCCGAATACAAGAAACATAATTGTTTCTTGGCCACTGAACAACATGTGATCCCTTCTACATTGATAAAAGAACCTTACGCGCAATCCTACATTACGTTCCTGATAAATGATATAACTTTTTTATTTTAATCTTTCAAAACCCAGTATGTAAAGTATACATTTCGAAATGTTGTGAGCAAAATCTCAGTACTGTAATGTAAATAGAGCCAGTAATCAAACGCAAGACTAAAGGAACTTACGTAGAAAATTATGTGGCGAGGACCCGTTAATCTCATCGTTAATGACTAAGGTCCTGATAATCAACGTATAAAAACTTATAAAAACGTTGTGCAATCAGCAAAGGAAGGCACTGAGGGATCACATTCGTTCAACATGTCAGAAACGCTCCGTCTGCTTCTTGCGTGTTCTTTGTTTTCCGTTGGGTGGAGCAAAGGGAGTTTTTTACAGCGTCCCGCTAACTGCGAAAAAGACGTACGGCTCGCGTATTCCGTTCTCAGCACACACGACGTTTATAACAGACTCCAGTGCTCTTTGAAATGCCTTGATGAGCCGGCATGCCTCTCCTTCAACTTTGAAGATGTGTCTGATAACAAGACTCGAGTTTGCGAGCTGAATTCAAGGACTGCGGACAAGAGAGGAAATAACATGGAAGCCAGAGAAGGCTACGCATACTATGAAAAGGTTATTTTAATCTGTTGGCTTTTATGCTCAAAGTTTTATGTAACTAGTTATCCATGACCAGCCGTTAAAATATCTTTAAAATACTAGTCTATTGTTTTCGAAAAATGAACGGTTCACTGTCTACACTCGTTATTTTAACATTGGAAAACGTTAAAAACGGACCTGTGCAACATCTTTACATTACTATCTTTATCACACTTAGAAAAAGACTAAACTTTTAATTAAAATCTAAATAAGTTAATATGTTTAAAATAGTTTATAACCATTTTTTGTCGATTGTAGGCAAATGGATTTGAAAGCAGCACCCAAAGTTGCAGTATAACTAACAAGTGTAAGTAGCTTAATCCTATAATTATTACATGAATAAATAACACTGTCATGTTTTATTGTCTTCTTCTATAGAACTGTCTCCATACAAATGAGATGTGTTTCATATAATATAGCCCGAATAACGACCTGTTTTAATCTTCCAGCATATGTATACACAAATATACAACTCCAGTCTAGGAATTTCCCGACATATTACTTTTCATACGATACCAGCGCTTCTGACAGAGCTAAAATCCTTCTGGACGACAGAAAGACTTTCCGAATCCTACGACCTGGATTGACGGGAGAGGAAGGAACTGTTTCCATCGAGTCCAACGATAAACCGGGTCACTTCTTCCGGTACCGCGCAGACACCAACGCCGTAGATCTCTGGGGAACCGATCCAGAATCTTACAGTCCAGAAACTTTCTACGAGGACGCTACCTTCAAAATTCGATATGGCACCTGGTTTACCGGATATTTGGCTTTTGAGGCAGCGTATAATCCAGGGAAATATATTTCTCACGGAAACTATCTTTTGTCTGTCGCCACCTTTGCCGATACAAGCGGTTTCAAAAATAACGCTGCTTTCAAAATAGGTATGTAAAAATTTATTAAGGGGAAGTGGTCTTTATTAACTAATCATTGACAGTAAAACGTTTTCCTAATTTTAATTTACATTTACAAAAATTGCAACTCCGACTTATAGATTAAGTCAAGTTTTATTTATCATTGTTTTCAAATTAAATAACTGAAGCCAATGATCTGAACATTGTCTCCCTCTCCTTGGATGGAAACTCTTTCTGGCAAGAACAACTGAAAAAAAGTTATATTATGACCATTGGTTAACCGTCATTACATTTCATTCTAGAATTCCTTTTGAAGGCATGATTATGAACCCGTAACAAATGGAGTTCTTTTGAGGCTAAAATTATAAATAGTCGAAAGTACTGACATGAAAGGGAATAAGGGACACTTGCTTAGTTTCTTTTCTAAAAGTTAACCTTTCCTTTTACAGTTCCAGCTCCAACCTATCTTTACACAGGCGTTAGAATACAGTCTCAAGACCACCAGTCACATTATCTGTCCTACGATGACAACAACTACTGCTACATTATCAACGGTGATTCCAAAACCTTCAACATTTGGAGTCCCGGTCTAACCGGAGTGGCGGGAACGGTGTCCATCGAATCTGTTGACAAGCCTCATTGGTTCTTTCGGTACAAGATCTCTAACTCGGCCTATACCAATCTTGAGTACCGACCATCCCCAGCACAAGGCAGTTCGAATTTTGATGAGGAGGCGACCTTTATCATCAGGCAGGATATTTCATACATCGGTTGGTTTGCTCTGGAAGCTTCTACGATGTCTAACTACTATCTTCGCCATACATGGTATCGTATGTACCTACACCATAATGTTCATACGTTGGATGATGCTGCCTACCGGTTTGTTTAGGTACGAATATTCCCCATTAACTTTCGGCACAACGGGTGGTTTGTCTGGAGGCTGAGACTTAATATTCGGGTATCATCTCCGACGTTCAGGTTATCTGATGTATCTTGATCATACTGCAGACAGACCTGATAATTAAATCACCGTTTCCTTTAATGTCGTTTTCACAAGATATGGGTTTTCAACGAGTGACTATCCGACATCTTACTCGATTGGTGTGATTGAAGACCTGATTTGTATATTGTGGTTTCTTCTCTTTAAAATAATACGTAAAACTTTCAGTGATATTGTCTGTCTAATATGCGGTCTAACCGGAGTGGCGGGAACAGTGTCCATCGAATCTGTTGACAAACTGAACTGGTTCTTTCGGTATAAAACTTCCAACTACGCATATGTTAACCTAGAAGACCGCTCTTCTCCCGCACGAGGAAGTTCGAATTTTGATGAGGAAGCGACCTTTATCATCAGGCAGGATATTTAATATGGTTTGCTCTGGAAGCTTCTACGTTGTCTAACTACTATCTTCGCCATTCGTCACATCGTATGTACTTACAGAATAATGTTCATACGTCGGCTTCTGCTGCCTTCCGTTTTGTGGGTAAAACTTAAGGCCAATGATATGGTATGCGGAAAAAGACCACTATGGCTGTTAACTGTTTCATTATTAAAAGATCCGTCAAGATCTGTATGCTTTTAAGTGTAACAACGTAGACGGGCCTAACACCAAAGTTCAACACATTTTGGATGATATCATAATTTGTACTCTAAATGTAACTGAATGAGAAGTTTCACTGCCCGTCATGATATCAAATCAACTATTTATTAGTGCCGTGTCTATAATACTCCCGTTTCATTCAAAGCAGTTTGTGTAAATGGATACGAGAAAGAACCACGTCTGGACTTCGACGATTTCCAAGCAAAGGAATGACCAATTACACCTGTATAAAATCTAAACTTAAATATATCTTTGAGTTCAATGAAGAATTGGGAAACATTGTCATTATAAAATGGAGACATTTTTAAAAAGTTTCATTGTATTTCTCTGCGATGTTTGAGCTAAGTGCTAGTATAGTAAATTATGTACAATTGTTACATTTTTCGGAACAGTGCAAAGATACCATGGCGTCGTAAGTGAAGATATTAATATTAACGTAGGGGTGTACAGCCGCAAAATGTGATCGTAGAATCAGATAAATTGCATGTAACTACTTGGAAGAATTAAATTTATATCTTTGAACTATCTGCGTTTTTTTTCTTGACAGGGATTTCTCCGTTTATGATATCAGGTATCTGGCGCCGAGGCTTAATCATACGAGGAGCAGGAGCTCGCATAACACGATTATTTAATAAATTTTTATCTCGATAACGTTTTTTTTTTCGGCAATTGTATTCATTTAATTTTGAGCGCATGGACAACCTTTTCATTTAAGGGATATGAACGCGCCTCAGAACGCGATCAAAATTTTAGAATAGCTCATCTTCACATTCAGCACACTTGAGTTTTTTTTTCAAATAATAATAAATACTAATAATAATAATCAAATAAATACTAAATAGCATTAAAACGTTCAAGTACATGATCAATAAAATCAGGCAAACTTTTTTTTAAATAGCACGATGCGATACCACGATAGCACGATGCGATATTACGATGTCGCGAAGCAGCCACCATATCAAGGGCTTGCAGGCTGTAGCACTTGACTTAAAGCGCGATTGTTGACTGGACTGTCGAAAAATCTTTTCTGAACGACATAGGTTAACAGCGGCACAAAATAATTCAACATTGATAATGCTATTGCAAAGGTCTTTTCTTAGGGGGCAAGCGTACTTTAAGCATAACTCCCCTCCCCCTTTTTGTCTTCAAGCCACATTTGCCTTCTCCGTGTGCATAACGCGTGGGTGNTGGTTCAACTTGATTTATTAAAATTTTTTGCAAGCGAAATTAGAACCCAGGCCATAGCGACCGCAACTTAAGTGGACGATATAAGAAAAGCATTTAAGGACACAATTCGGGTTTATGTGTATCAGGAAACAAAATGTGGCGCTCTATACTTTCTTAGCATAATTATGAGTACCTTAGTTGTTGCGAAAGTGATAGGGGATGAAAAGTCCACATGACACCGGCCATGTTGTAAACAGTAAATTTGGGTGACGCAGGGACGTAAGTACACTGTCCCGAGATCCCTATATCAACAGCGCCATCTAGGTTGGCACTGGCACTACTTCCCACTACCACTTCTAATAATTGTGTAGCTGCGTCCAGAAAAATACTCTGTTAGCTTTTTATTAGATGACATAATCTAACATCCACTTTTGGTACGTTTTTTACTTCTCTTTTCGTCTTGTCCGTATATAATACATACACAGGGTTCCAAAAAGCTTGTCATGGAAGGTCTAACAGTTCTATACTGTATAATGTGGCATTGCAATAACGCCACCTCCATCAATTTATTCGTTTTTGTTTCAAAAGCTAGTTATCCGAATACAAGAAACATAATTGTTTCTTGGCCACTGAACAACATGTGATCCCTTCTACATTGATAAAAGAACCTTACGCGCAATCCTACATTACGTTCCTGATAAATGATATAACTTTTTTATTTTAATCTTTCAAAACCCAGTATGTAAAGTATACATTTCGAAATGTTGTGAGCAAAATCTCAGTACTGTAATGTAAATAGAGCCAGTAATCAAACGCAAGACTAAAGGAACTTACGTAGAAAATTAAGTGGCGAGGACCCGTTAATCTCATCGTTAATGACTAAGGTCCTGATAATCAACGTATAAAAACTTATAAAAACGTTGTGCAATCAGCAAAGGAAGGCACTGAGGGATCACATTCGTTCAACATGTCAGAAACGCTCCGTCTGCTTCTTGCGTGTTCTTTGTTTTCCGTTGGGTGGAGCAAAGGGAGTTTTTTACAGCGTCCCGCTAACTGCGATAAAGACGTACGGCTCGCGTATTCCGTTCTCAGCACACACGACGTTTATAACAGACTCCAGTGCTCTTTGAAATGCCTTGATGAGCCGGCATGCCTCTCCTTCAACTTTGAAGATGTGTCTGATAACAAGACTCGAGTTTGCGAGTTGAATTCAAGGACTGCGGACAAGAGAGGAAATAACATGGAAGCCAGAGAAGGCTACGCATACTATGAAAAGGTTATTTTAATCTGTTGACTTTTATGCTCAAAGTTTTATGTAACTAGTTATCCATGACCAGCCGTTAAATATCTTTAAAATACTAGTCTATTGTTTTCGAAAAATGAACGGTTCACTGTCTACACTCGTTATTTTAACATTGGAAAATGTTAAAAACGAACCTGTGCAACATCTTTACATTACTATCATTATCACACTTAGAAAAAGACTAAACTTTTAATTAAAATCTAAATAAGTTAATATGTTTAAAATAGTTTATAGACATTTTTTGTCGATTGTAGGCGAATGGATTTGACAGCAGCACCCAAAGTTGCAGTATAACTAACAAGTGTAAGTATCTTAATCCTTTAATTATTACATGAATAAATAACACTGTTATGTTTTATTGTCTTCTTATATAGTACTGTTTCCATACAAATGAGATGTGTTTCATATAATATAGCCCGAATAACGACCTGTTTTAATCTTCCAGCATATGCATACACAGATATACAACTCCAGTCTAGGAACTTCCCGACATATTACTTTTCATACGATACCAGCGCTTCTGACAGAGCTAAAATCCTTCAGAACGACCAAAAGACTTTCCGAATCCTACGACCTGGATTGACGGGAGAGGAAGGAACTGTTTCCATCGAGTCCAACGATAAACCGGGTCACTTCTTCCGGTACCGCGCAGACACCAACGCCGTAGATCTCTGGGGAACCGATCCAGAATCTTACAGTCCAGAAACTTTCTACGAGGACGCTACCTTCAAAATTCGATACGGCACCTGGTTTACCGGATATTTGGCGTTTGAGGCAGCGTATAATCCAGAGAAATATATTTCTCACGGAAACTATCTTTTGTCCGTCGCCACCTTTGCCGATACAAGCGATTTCAAAAATGAAGCTGCTTTCAAAATAGGTACGTAAATTCTTATTTGGGTGTAGTGCTCTCTGATAATCAATTATTGCCAGTAAAATGTACTCCTTGATTTAATTTTCAAAAATTACAGCCCCAACTTGTAAATTAAATCGTTTTATTTAATGCCGTTTTGAAAACCAACAACTAAAAGCAATGATCTGAACATTTTCTCCCTCTCCTCGTTGTCGAATAAGTTCTTAGTTGGGGAATTTGGGATGCGCATTTAATTTCCAATAGCTGAATGAATGAATGAAAAAAGAAAGACCTGAAACACATCAGTTGGCTGCAGATGCTGTCTCTGGCACATGAAAGATTTGTCGAAACGAATGCTTACATAGTAATATATCTGGTCCTGAATCTAAATGGATGGAAACCCTTTTTGGCGATCAAGATCTAGAGTTGCTGGGAAGAATTACTGGAAAGATATATGACCAATAGTTCACCGTCATAAGATTTTATTCTTCCTTTTGAAGGCATGATTATGGGCCCTTTGCCAATGTGGTTGTTTTAAGCTAAAATTATAAATAATTTGAAGTGCTGAAATGAAAGGCAATGAGGGATGCTTGGTTTCTTTTCAAACAATTAACCTTTCTTTTTACAGTTCCAGCTCGGCCCTATCTTCACACACGCATTAGGATGCAGTCCCAAAACTACCAGTCATATTATCTGTCCTACAATAGCAACAACTACTGCTACATTATCAACGGCGATTCTAAAACCTTCAACATTTGGAGTCCCGGTCTAACCGGAGTGGCGGGAACAGTGTCCATCGAATCTGTTGACAAACTGAACTGGTTCTTTCGGTATAAAATCTCCAACTCCGCATATGTTCACCTAGAAGACCGCTCTTCTCCCGCACGAGGAAGTTCGAATTTTGATGAGGAAGCGACCTTTATCATCAGGCAGGATATTTTATACACCGGATGGTTTGCTCTGGAAGCTTCTACGTTGTCTAACTACTATCTTCGCCATTCGTCAACACGTATGTACTTACACAATAATGTTCATACGTTGGCTGATGCTGCCTTCCGTTTTGTGGGTAAAACTTAAGGCCAATGATGTGGTATGCGGAAAAAGACCACTATGGCAGTTAACTGTTTCATTATTAAAAGATCCGTCAAGATCTGTATGCTTTTAAGTGTAACAACGTAGACGGGCCTAACACAGAAGTTCAACACATTTTGGATGATATCATAATTTGTACTCAAATGTAACTGAATGAGAAGTTTCACTGCCCGTCATGATATCAAATCAACTATTTATTAGTGTCGTGTCTAATACTCCCGTTTCATTCAAAGCAGTTTGTGTAAGTGGATACGAGAAAGAACCACGTCTGGACTTCGACGATTTCCAAGCAATGGAATGACCAATTACACCTGTATAAAATCAGATAAATTGCATGTAACTACTTGGAAGAATTAAATTCATATCTTTGAACTATCTGCGTTTTTTTTTTCTTGATAGGGATTTCTCCGTTTATGATATCAGGTATCTGGCGCCGAGGCTTAATCATACGAGGGGCAGGAGCTCGCATAACACGATTATTTAATAAATTTTTATCTCGATAACGTTTTTTTTTTTTCGGCAATTGTATTCATTTAATTTTGAGCGCATGGACAACCTTTTCATTTAAGGGATATGAACGCGCCTCAGAACGCGATCAAAATTTTAGAATAGCTCATCTTCACATTCAGCACACTTGAGTTTTTTTTTTTCAAATAATAATAAATACTAATAATAATAATCAAATAAATACTAAATTGCAGTAAAACGTTCAAGTACATGATCAATAAAATCAGGCAAACTTTTTTTTTTAAATAGCACGATGCGATACCACGATAGCACGATGCGATACCACGATAGCACGATGCGATATTACGATGTCCCGAATCAGCCACCATATCAAGGGCTTGCAGGCTGTAGCACTTGACTTAAAGCGTGATTGTTGACTGAACTATCGAAAAATCTTTTCTGAACGATATAGGTTAACAGCGGCACAAAATAATTCAACATTGATAATGCTATTGCAAAGGTCTTTTCTTAGGGGGCAAGCGTACTTTAAGCATAACTCCCCTCCCCCTTTTTGTCTTCAAGCCACATTTGCCTTCTCCGTGTGCATAACGCGTGGGTTGCACCCCCCCCCCCGTTTCAACTCCTGAGAGGAATCAGATTACTATTAATAATAGATTAATTCTCATTTCCAAAGTACATTACTCGTATTATTACCAGCTTTCCTGTATTCTATTCAAATCAAGAGGAGGCGTGTTTTTAACAGATTAAAATATGTATATGTAATTGCACTCAGCCAGTCCCCGTGGAGTTAGATCGATCTTCGTACAGCAATTGTGCATGAGCTATTACACAAGTATATATTAGGGGGGGTCTTGAAGTGGGATGAACTTAAAAGGTGATAGAAACAAATAAAGGAATGATGTCTAATCATTCATCTATGCGTCATTTATTGAACTCCGATGTAAGTTCCGATATAGACCAACCACGAGCGTATATTGCAAGTGTCAGTAATTGTTTACTGCACGCACAAATNTAATGGCCCCATTATGCTGATTTTTGAACTTGACCTGCGTTTTAGTAAGATTGATTACTAATGTGAGTTTCATGACAACAGGCCTATGGGTTTTCCTTGAAATGTGTTAACAATGTTGCATATATGCTAAAAAGTGAAAAAACAGCATAACTACTAAAATAGTGGCCCGATCATGCCGATTTTCGAACTTGACCTGCGTTTTAGTAAGATTGATTACTCCTGTGAGTTTCATGACAACAGGCCTATCGGTTTTCCTTAAAATGTGTTAACAGGGTTGCATATATGCTGAAAAGTGAAAAAACAGCATAACTTCTACAATAATGGCCCGATCATGCTGATTTTCGAACTTGACCTGTGTTTTATGAATATTCATCAGCTCTGTAAATATAAAGCCAAAAAGTAAAACTGCCCTCCACTTATCGTGTTAACAAGGAAAGTGCACGGCGCCGGCATCGGCGACGGCATCGGCGACGCCATCGGCATCGGCGACGACGGCGACGACAGACGCAGGTGATGGCAATATGTACAGACACATCTGTGTCTGTACATAATAATTGATAATGAATAATATTATAGTTCGCTTTCTTTCCATTTTCACTTCACAGTCACTTGCATATGAAAAATTTATTTAGTCTTTTCAAGAGGATTTTGCTTTTGAATTTCGGAAGAAATGGACACATTAAAATTGGCACTCTACTATGTCCTGCTAAATAAGATATACATTCATTTTTCATCGTGGCAATTTTTTTTTTTTTGCAGTAAACATCAGATTTAAGAAATTTTCAGGTATAAAAAAGTGAAATATTCTAAATATGTTCATTACAACTGGCGTAATACTACTTTCTTTATTGCAAAAGTGAGAATATCTTCTAGCATGGAATACAATGCAATATTCTGCAAGAAAAAAATGAATAAATAAACTCCTGTTTGAGACTGTTACGTCAAATAAAGCAAACAAATTAAAACCATTCTCCAGTCTCGCGCAGTTCCAACCCGGGCCAAATCGTGGAAGACGAGTGTGAAACCCGGGGAGATGATTAACCGAGATTCCTCTCACGTCTGACCGCCCAGACTTCCCCAGAACATTTTTCAATATGGTGGAAATCAAGTTTTCTGGAGTACTGGGCCAATCAATAGGCAATGTCCTAACTCCCTCTCTCCAAACTCTTCCACTTCACGGCCTTGGAGGCGTATAGGAGAATCACTCTACTCGTGAAGTTATTAAACCTCTAAGAATGGCGGGCACAGGGCTATATTTTGGTGAGGGATCATAGAGTTGGCACGTGAAGATCGGGAACGTCAAATATCAGCGGTCGTCTGCTGGGCGGTCGATCCCTGTCGGCTGTGATATCTGGTTAAGGATACAAACTGGATACAAATCTTCATTTGAACGTACGTGGAGTAACTATGCTTAACAAATGGCACACACATTGGGTAATTTTTTTAACACTCTGCCCTTTTTTTTACATGACAAAACCAAGCACTTGGTCACTTGACAATGTGTATAAGTGGACTTGTCCATGACATAAGGATATAATGAAAAAATAAACAGCTCCTTGGTTCTTTGAAAAAGTCCACTAAAAGACACTGATTAAGTTTTTTTTTACAGTAGCTCAAAGTACAGATTTGTGAAATGTCCTCCACCTGACTGATGCTATGTTGTAAGCCATTTTGATTGAACAGCTTTTAGGTTCAATTTTTATAAAAGTAATGTTTACTTTGCTAAAATTTTGTCACAAAATGTCCATTCATATAGGGCATAGTTACTGAAATTTAAAATTTGTGATGGAAATTAATATCATTAAGACTATTTTTCAAACGAGCACTTAAACTATGGGAAATCGAATATGCATATTGATTTCACATATTAGGCAGGACATAATCTTAAAAATAGTCATGTACATTACCTTCACTTGGGATAAATCAATAAATAATGATTTCCATTAAGTAATTAACAAGCATGAATAATTAATGAAAAGGAATCAATACTTTGCCGTTATTTTACAAGACTTAAGTTGACAAAGTGAGGTGACTGTAACGTGAACATTTAAAATGGTTTGAGATTATTAGCTTCATTCTATCCAAATTTCTGTTAAGAGCTATTATCTATCTTGCACAACAGTATACACTTGTCAGGTGATAATTACATTTTTACAAATAGTAGCAGTAGTGAAAATACAAGAAATGCTAAAATATCTCCTAGGCTAAAACCAAATTATGATGGTCTTAATATCACTTCTATACAGTACTTTTGGGTTTGAAAAAGAGGAAAGATTGAGGAGAGATTAAGTATAGGGAAAAACTGATAAGAAATAGTCTTTGAGAATTTTTTTATGCCTCATGTCCCATTGGAGTACATGGAACTAATCTCACACCCAGTAGTGTTTGTGAATCAATACTCCTACTGTTAAGGTCCATTTAAATGTGGCAGAAAGTGAGAAATTATATATGTATACTCATACTTATCATAAAACACATGAAAAGGATATTGATGAAGAAGCTTGAAAAGTCCAGTGCCAATTGTCATTGGGATGCCCATGATAATGCACTCACTGACACCTGGAAAACAGCAACAACATCATCATAAATACTCAAAAATACTTAAAGGGATAACAACCGTTTTAATGATATTTATATTTCACTATAAACACATTGCAAACCACTCGGAGAAATATAATAAATTCTATTTTACCACCAAAAAGGCAATTCATGCATTTATTCTGGAGTTTGTGCTTGCCATCACATGACGTGACCTCCACAGGTGGCTACATTCTGTAATAATTTCTTAAGACAATATTACAAAAAACCAAACTTTTAGAAAAAAACAGGAACTAACATTGAATGTGGGAATGGATTCATTAACCAATGGTAAGTAAGGGAAAATTGTCCTTTACCCCAGGAAAATTCATTTTTTGGCCAAATGAACAGTTATTATCCCTTTAATAACAATGTAGCCACTAATCCATAATCCATCTGGTTCTACAATGGTGGCTCAATAAAATTTTTATTCTGTTCTGATTAATACTTTTCATCAAAGGGGAAAAATTTAACAATACTAACCCTTGGGAGGCTATAGACTAAACAACTATTGGATTCCCTCTTTCTTTCACCATTTATTTGGTCAAAACAAACAGATTTCCGTCACAATAAAGATCTATATTTCATTGATGGGTTTTTCTCTTCATTGTTAAAACTCAGCTGAGAAAAACATTACATTTTATACTTAACATTATGAAGTAACCCAAGCATTATATTATTAAACTCTTTATGCAAATGTTTTTGTTTTATATTTCTTTTAATATCCATTTAAAAAGTCTGCACATGTTTTGAAAGTTACTCAAAAAGTAATGGTCTTAACTTCTAGATTCCATTAACAGTAAGTTAAAACACAACGAAAGCCTATAACCAGTCACTGCACTTAAACCAGGTGAGACAGTTTTCACAAGATAAAGTGGAATAAGGGCAAGCAACTTGATGATGCCGTCCATTATTTCCCTGCAAAAAATTGTCTCATTTAACGCTCACTTATGGTGCTCAATCTGTCCTAGAACATAATATTTTTCTCTTTTATTGTAAAATGTTCTTAACCTGATCTAGGACATTTTGAAGGACTTCCTAAAACAGTTGTTGAACTGTTACATTCATCACAGGACAACATTAGAACTGTAAAAAAAAAAAAAAACAAAATAACCACCAAATGTTCTAAAATAGATTAAGAACCATAAAAGGACGTTAAATGAGACAAATTTTCACAGAGAAATATGTTAACCAATGGCCTGAATGCCAATGCAAGTAGCAATTGGACCAGGCTGGGGAAATTTCTGAAAGGACAGTTAGTTACTGGCCTGACCGGGCAATGGATTTTTTTTAGCTGTACCGCAATTCATTTGATAAATGTTCTTGCAGAAGTCTTTCTTTTTTTTTTTTTTTACAAATAACCATTTGAAACTCTCATGTTTTTGTTCTTATTTGTAATAGGAAGCCTGATTAAACTCAATGTTTAATTTTAGTAATTGTTTATAAAATTGGAATCCAGCCAGTGATGTCGTGTTCAGGCCAGTAAATTCTCAGACTCTGATGGCTTGGATGGCCTATAAGTTCAAAAGTTTAAGGCACACACTGTATAAATAAAGTGGAAAAGACAAAGCAACCCTTATCATTCATCTTCGTTTCACATTGAATTCTCATGGGTCCTTAGCTTTCATAACAACTGTGCACATCATTATTTATTTAAAAAATGAAAAACAAACATCCTGACTTCCATTAAAAAAATTCTATTGTTCATTAGTTGCATCATTTGTTTTCTTTTTTTTATTTAAGTTTCTTTNACATTTCCTCAGATTCAATTCTTAGGCATGTTAACAGTCTCATTATTAAACTAATAAGATACGTAAAAGTGTTTGTTTGACATTTCCTGCATCTTTACAACATTGTTAGTTGATTATGTAAAAATGATGGTAAACTTTTTATCGTGTATTGTGTAATAAAGTGTCAAAAATGGAAATAAACTCATATCATTGCAGTTTGTCAGATTCAATCATCCACTATGTTCAGAATCTCAGAATGGAGGAAATTGGACATTTAACACTGTTCTATTGATATTTTTCCAATATCATTAATTTTCTTAGTTGATCATATAAAAATGGCAGTAAACTGTTCATTTTGTTTTATGTTAAAAAAGTGTTAAAAATGGAAATAAACCCATTTCAGAACAGTGCTGTCTTGTTAAAATTTGATGTTGAATTTGCAGTTTAACATTATGTACTTTTGCATCAGAATTGGCAGTAGCCTATTTTGTGCATAGTTATTTCCTGCTTTTTGTCTGTACATTTGACAGCTTTGCTGCCTTGTTTTTATTTAAGTTTCTTTTGTTTCCTTTTTCAATATTTCCATTTTCAAAAAAATGAAAAAAATATGTTAGCACTCACCACAAATAGCATCCGATTCTCCATGATAAGAAGCTTCAAATAAATGATCTGTAGTCTTCTCAAACTAAGGATGGAATTCAATGGAATCAGTATGGAATCCACATGTGATTGAACAGTCTCTAATAAAACATTTAAGTTTGATTGGAAATTTGAAAATTGAGAATTAAAAACAAAATGACTGATTACTTCAATAATTCTACGACTTCCTGTCAAATTTCTAATTACATAACCAAAAAGTTGTCTTGGAAGTTGAAATGTAATGATTATCGATAAAGCAAAATACTCACAGAGGCCAACATAAGAACACTTTCCTTCATTTTGGCTAAACCAAAACGTGTGATACCAAGGACTTCCCCCTATTTTAACAAAACAATTAACAGGAAAAATAATTTCCTTCTCAATGCTTTTTTTTTGTAATGTACAATTTTTTTAAATATCAATTCTTTATAAAATATTTCATCAGTTAGGACCAATCATTTATTTGTGTACTAATATCTTTTTTTTATTCATGTTCTTAACAATTTTTTCTTTCAAACTCTTTAATTTTTTAAAAACTAGTCCGAAAAAGATTATTTAATACTTCCAATGAATTTATCAAGCTTGCCTTAAATGTCATAAGATCAGCTAACAGCATAACATGGCGAAGGTCTATACTCATCCCATGGTTTTCCATTGTATACACGATTTCTTTCATGATAGTGGTTCTAAAATGGAAAAAATGAGTAAATAAAACTAAAAGTGAACAGTCTGACCATTGAGAGTGAACATAACACTTCAATTAACATATCTCTGATTGTGTGAACAAATTTGTTGATTTTTATAGCAGCAAACTACACATTTCATTTTTGTTACAAGAAAAACAAATAAGGGTGTACAGCAAATAACTAAAAAAGGTTTAAGGCAGCCAATAAGTTTGAAGGTTATCTGAAAAACAGTTATTGGAACAAGAAGCATGGAAAATCTTCAAATTAACCTGCTGCTTGGAGACTGGCCACTGTTAACTACCAGGGCTATTACACAGTGACCAGTCATGTACCAGCAAGTCAGTGATACATCCCTATATCATCTACCTTGCAGCTTCAATGCCAAGAGTTTTTTCAACTTCAAAAGTGTTGTTTGAATACGTCTCTGGGCCTTTAACACCTGAAATTAGACGGAGCAATAAATAATTGATTATGTATGTCTGTGTGCAGAAGGCAAATCATTTCAAGCACTGTAACAAACATCTAATGGATGTTTTTGATCAATAACCTTAAACCCATGCAGATAAAAACATGTCAATCAAAAGCACAATAAAAAATAAACACTGGCTTTTTATCCAAAAATCAATTTCCACTATAAAAACATCAACAGCATAACCGACACCTTGAATACAGGTTCAAATAAATTGATCTTCATCAGCAGTCAATTTTCCTCAAAACAGAATGGAATCTGTAATAATTTCACACAAAAAGTCTCCTAAACAAAACAAAAACTGTCTGTGTTCATTTCTATCAATGCAGGAGGTGAGCACAGACATAAAGTGTCAGATGGCTGAAAGGAAATGCCAAAATTATTTCCTCGGAATATACTGCTTAATAGCATTCACTGAAACAGACATGAATTGTTAAAATAAAGCAACTATCAATTATCAGAGAACAACTCATCAAACTAATTGATGCGGCATACACCTTTAATGGTGCCATCCATATTAGTTAGAAATGCAGCCATGCAGATAAACATGACATTTCAAGTCACTTTTTATGTATACAAGTTTCACCCGATGCCAATGGTGTAGGTGTCTGACAATATTTCTTGATTGCTTTATCAATAATATGAGCACATTTGTTTCTCATTAATACAGTGTTTAAATACTCCTGCACCTATCAAAAAATATAAATAAATAAATAAATAAAATACTAATAAAAATAACAAAAAGTATAATAAGCCACCTACCAGGTGTCGCCATCACCTCGCGGAGGTTGTCTCCTTCCACCAGTAACTTGTAACATTCCCCTTTCTTCTCGTCTGCATGAATAACTGCTCTCGTCACTGACTTCAGACCCTGCAGTCACAGAACATGACTTTATTTCCTTTTTTCAGTAACAAAACAACTTGTTTTTACATTACTGATCAATACACTGCTTTAAAACAAACATTACAATGCAGTTAAAAATATTAAAAAATATCAAACATAAAATCCTAAATTAAAAATTTTATGATGTTGGTAAATGAATATGAGTCAATGCATTTATGCATTTACTTTTTTGAATAGTTTCAGTGTGTTGAAATCTAAGTAATTACTATGATAATAATCTAAAAATGTTTCAAAATAGGTAACAAAAAGATATGTTGCAAGGAAAAAAAACCCCATCCCTTCTTTACCTGTAATGAAAATAAAAATAATTTGTAAAATAAGTAATAAAAAACTGTCAAATATCTGCCTTCTACCTTAATGATAACTTTGGGTATATCTGCCTTCAGTTGCTGTAAGACATAGTACATGGAGCTCTTGTTGGTTTCTTGGGGGGTGATACACAGGATAGCATCCCCATGGAGCTGGATTTGCTGGAAAAGGAAAGAAAAATGCCCTATAAAGTTGGGAAATAAATTCCATTTTCATCTGTGCATGATTATATTAAAGAGAGAAAAAAAACTGAGAGGTCAATGGTAAATTTCTGTGTTAAATTTTTTCTGCAAGAAATAACATTTATTCTTCATTTTAGAAAGGTTAAAACCTTTCCTTTTCCAGAAAAATAATTTATCATCATTGAACTGCCTCAGTTAAATGTTTATTCAAATCTTGACACAACCAACTAAAAACTAACTTTCTGCTTTATCTCTTGTTATAACTGTACTTTTTTTCAAGAATGTGTAAATGTAAATGAAGTATATGACCTATTCAACCAACCTGGGGTTTCACCTTGAGTTTAGCAGTTAATATGGACTCTCTGATGGTATCAATATTCACCTCCAACTGAAAAATATATATAAAGATCTGTATTCCTACTTATTATTTGATACAGATTTTCACTTTCGTAATCACAACTGATGGTTAATTTCATGAATGACGAGGGTGTTGCATTCTACATTTCACATGAAGAATATGTTTATCATACACTCATTCTTTTATCTTATTAAAAACTTCAGTAAACCAATTAATTAAAAACTGAGAAGACAGTAAAATAATCAACTCACAATAAGGCATCTTTTATCTTGAAAGCAAACTTGTCCTACCTTTAGCAATCTTATTCTGTCCAGATCCAGTTTGACCAGCAGAAAGCAGTCATCTGGCAAAAAGACTTCCTCAACATACTCTGACACCTGGGGGAGATGTAGACATTGGACTTTACATATAGCCAAAGGAAAAAAAAATAGTATGGCTATTGCATACTCAGACATGAGCCTAGGTTTAAAAAACTCTTAAACATTTATCATGGGACCCAACACCTAACCTTGACGAATCTCAGGAACCATAAGAATTGAATTTAAAAATATGGAATTCTGCTTTTCTGAGGAAAAAGCTCATGTCTGATACTACTCTATAAGATGCTACTATGTAAATAATCTATTTGTGTTAATGTATTACTAAAGCAAATCAAATCAACTCAATAAATTGATATATTGAATTGTAATTACCATGTGATAAATGAAATTTGTGAGCTAAAAACTGTGAAGGTCAATTTCTAGCTCCACTTGAAATTTTAATTCTGTGTGAATGATACTATTCAAGTACAGCTTATGTTTCTGAACTATTAACACACAACTATAATTTTAAATTGACCCCAAATCTATCAAAAAGGTGTATATTACACAATATAAAAGAACCAGTCAAACACGCAAGTCAGTATATAAGACGAGTTGTTTAAAAGAACAAAATAAACAGCTATCTAAACACACATATTGACCACCATACCTCTCCAAGTAAAGTTTTCTCAATTCTTCCTTTAACAATCCGCGCCTTTTCTGCGTCGTGTTCATCAACTAGTGCCCCCGTGATAATGGGGGTGCTGATATTCTTGGAGGCATTGATGATTTCCTTGATACGGGGGACACCCAATGTGATATGTGAATAACAGTTAAGGTACAAATGTTGCAATGCATTGCTAAAATCCACCTCAAACACCATTAAATAGTTGAAACCCAGTTTTAACAAACATGAATAGATGTATTGTAAATCATTTATCCACTTTTTTTGTCAAGAAACCAGCAGATTGCTACTTTTAGTTTATAATGCCATCCTTCCCTGAGTTTGAAATAATTCAAGATATCAAAACTTCATCAATATTTATCCCCCCCACCCCCACACACCCCAAAAGAAAAGGGTAAAAGTTTGGTTCTATATAAAAAAAAGGATATTCATAGAAGCCACACCAGCAAAATGAAAAGTTTTCAGTGTCATCTGTGTTCCTGGCTCTCCAATACTCTGTGCACACACTGCCCCCACTGCTGTCCCTGGATAATATAACATATAACATGACACTGCCCCCACTGCTGTCCCTGGATAATATAACATATAACATGACACTGCCCCCACTGCTGTCCCTGGATAATATAACATATAACATGACACTGTTCCCACTGCTGTCCCTGGATAATATAACTACTATCTATCCCTCTACCTGGCTCCACTTTGGCCCTCATATATTTATCTCGGCAGCACTCCAGGAACTCCGTCACCTGTGTCAGGGTCAGTCGGTCTACCTGGTACAGGGCTGGAAAGGTATGGAGGTGGTCAAGGATTAGAGCAAGTCTTACCTTGATGTTTTTTTAGTGAAACCAAGGTATAAACCTTCCTTAACTTAATCGCTGTCAGTTGTTTGTAAGATCAGGGATCAAAGTCAAACTCAAATGAATAAATAAATGAATTAGGTGATGTAAGACTGTGAGTAAACAAAAAGGAACAGTTTAGAAACTGAACGTTTACAGAAGTATATTAATGCATCAATAAAGATGCAAATTTATATACCCTACATGTCTAACAGGGTTACATTGGCCTATTCTATTTTACCTTTTGGTCTGATTAGGTGTGGGTTATCCAGTCTCATTTTCTTCCTAGTCTCAGCTACAGTCTTACATGTCTGCTCCATGAAGTCTCTGAAACAACAGCAATAAATTGTGTGATACTTTCTCAAAATATTAATTTTTATTTTTGGCCAACCATAAAATACAACGTTGCCAACTCATAACAGATGTCTGAAAACAGATTTTTTTGTTGTGCCAAGAACATCTGACTTGATCACTTAACAAGTTGGAATAAAAATAAATAAACTTGCCAGATTACAGAAAATGGGCAATATTCTGAGTTTTTAATGTGGCTGTACAACCGGCTGACTTCCAATGACCATATTTTCCAAGATGGCCACCAGAGACACAGCCTCAACACACCTTAATTCCTGCAGGAAGTCTTCATGGCACTCTCTGTATTTGTTGTTTTTCAGTTCCTTATCCACTAAATCTTCCAGAGCAGCAGCACTAAGAGACTCCTCATCAGTACCTGAGAATTTATTCTAAAGCAAAAAAAAATAAAGGTGAAATGTCAGGCCCAACTGTCAATCTTACAGCTCTCCAGAATGTAAAGATCTAAGTGTTATTGACAGACTAAGCCCATAAATATGTGAAATTGGTGAAAATGAGAAAAATCTTTATGGCTTAGTAAATACAGAAATGATAATGCTGAAGTATAATATATAAGCAATGAATCATAGTATTATATGAAACATTCAAATATTGTTAACAATCACAAAAACAAGTCATTTCAAATGTCGAGTAAAAGTCATTCCCTTAATTGTTAACAACATCATTAAATTAACATTTGAATTAACTGAATTGTTTTCTTTTAACATGATATATCTCACCTTTATGTGAGAAAGAACCCTTTTATAATCCAGAGGTTTGCTCTTGCCTTCCATGGCAGCAGGGTCAAGGCCATCTCCACCATATACAAACTGTACAATATCTCCCATAGATGTCCTCACAGTCAAGTCATAATGCGAACATAGGTCTTCCAGGGACTGTCAAAAACATAGCACAAATATATTATCTATTGCCTATAAAGTTTAAATCAATTAAAAAAATTGGCATATAATTACTGTGGTGTTCTAAATATGAATGATAGAATTGCTTGAATTGAAAATGATGTAGTGTATAGCTTCATTTGTACACTGCAATGTTGCTTGTTAACATTGCTTAAACACAAATTCATATGTTTCCAAATCCAAAATATATTTCAATCAATCAAAAAGTGTGCAAAATTCTTTCCAGCTCCAAAAGTTAATTTCTCTACAATGACAAGGTCATATCCTAAATGACCTTTACCTTGACCAGCCTCCTTTGCATGTAGCCAGTCTCTGCCGTCTTGACTGCAGTATCTACAAGACCCTCCCTGCCAGCCATGGTGTGGAAGAAGAACTCTGTTGGTGTTAAACCAGAATAAAAACTGTTCTGTACAAACCCTTTGGCTTCTGGAATTTTTGCTGCAGAAAAAAAATAATTTAAAGAAATCATCCATATTCATTCATTCTGTCAGCTGGAAAACCTTTTTAAAATAATTTCTCTTGTTGGGGAATATTTTGGAAAGAAGTGTATACCTCTAAAATCATTCAAAATTGATATCAGACAAAATAATGCCTTCATAGGTCATAAATATCAAAATAATACAATGACTAGACTTTAAACTTTAATCTTTCTAGAATTATAACAATGAATCTTTTGAATGTAAATGGCAAAAAGAACAAATAGAATGAATCTTACAGTGTCTCTCAAAGTGTGGCAAAGCTCTGTCCTCAAACCCATTGGGCACTCTGCTGCCACTAATGGCCTGTTGCCCCACACAAGCTATCATCTGAGAAATGTTGATGTTGGACCCTGGAATAAAATGGTTGGAAAATATGGAATTCTACTTACATGACCTTAGGGGTAACACACTGGGTGAAGAGAAGCATTGAAATAAGTGTCTTTGCTGGAGACATTACTTACAATGGTCACTAAAAGTTTCAAACCCATAATGTCTCTTTTGCGAATATGGTGCCCCAAACTTTTCTGCAGTTTGAGCAGATTCATGGCAACAAATTCCAAAGAGATCCACTAAGGGTGCATTACCAGAGCTTTAGATCGATCCAGAGATTTAAATTTAGATCAACCTAACTCCCTGGGGGTTCACGCTAAATTGCAGTCAGTCGAGCGCGCACCATAGTTAATTACCTTACAGCTTTTAGTAGCCAGGACTAATGCTCAAGCCGGCTAAGCTGACAGTAATCTAGTGAGACTCCCCACAGGGATAGATCGATCTAAAATCTATGGGAAATTATATTTACATTTACATCCGACAACATTATTATTTCATATATTCTTCCTTACTTTTGAAAACTGTGCAAAGCTAATATCACAAAATGGTAATCAGATATGAAATGATCTTACCTTTTGAGCCACATATGGCCATAATCAGTGGACTATTGCTCTTGTGCAGCTCTCTCAAACAAGCTTTGCCAGCAAGATCCCTGATCACAGAGAGCTCCTTCAATATCATGGCCTGAGGGAAATAAAAATAAAATCATAAATTTAAATAAAAAATAAAAACGAACACCTTTATAACTGTATATATGCTGACATGGCACAAGTGACAAAATGTTCATTTTTTTTTTAGTGTTTCATGGTTATAATGAGATGCATCTTCTTGAAATAGAAGGTGGAGCATACCCAAAAAATAGCTATTATGTTTTTAATTGCATACAAATAGGATAACAGATATCCACAATACAAAAAATGAATTAATGATATATGAATAAATACAGAAATGAAAAAATCAGCAAAGATTTGGATTCTAATATTAAATAAGATATAAGTACCTCTAGGGACTGTTCAGGAGAGCACCCCGGCTGGGACTGCAGTTTGCCGTCGGCCAGTTCCTGAATATACTGATCACATTTGGAATACCTGCAACACAGATCATCAACAGTTTGGACATGTTTTAAATAATGTCAAATATGGTTTCCTGTGACTGAAAGGTACATGAGAACGTCTTGATTTTAAGTACTAAGAAATAATACGAATTCCATAACGGTATCACAGCTTGAAATTTTTAAATAAATATTACAAAGATACCCCCCCCTCCAAAAAAAAAAAAAAATAAATAAATAAATAAATAAATAAATAACACAAAACATCAGTGCTTACCCATCATCCAGTAACTGATGCTTTGCCTTCAACAACCCCAAACCAGGAGTGACGTCCCCTATGCCTATGGAAAACCCATGGTGACCTGGAGAAATCAGAGTATAGAAAGAAATTTCATATCCACTTTTCTTCTCAAGTAAGAAAATAAAACCTAGAATTTTTTTCAAGGCTGGACATTTACCTGTAACTTAGTGATAACATAATATAAATGGCACTACAATGTTTATTTCCAGCAAATAAATTTTCTTTAAATTTTTCAAAATTAAACTCATTAAGGACAGTTTTAATGCTGTCAAATCTTCCATCCATCATGGAAAGTTGCTAATCTCAAACCTGTAAGTTAATTTTCCATCTAACAATCTATCAGTCTCTATGAATCACTAATACCACAACTTTATTTACTCCCTCTATATATTTATATTCAAATTTAAACCACATTCACACTCACTCAGAAAAGCAGGACAGAGCTTGGCGAGCCTTGCCATAGCTCCTGCTGCGTAGCTCTCTCCATAGTCTCTGAGCAGAAGATAGAAGATATTATTCTTGGACCCCCCTCCAAGTGTTCCTTTGTCCATAGTACCACATAGTAACTCACTGTTGTATATCACCACAACTGAAGAGGAGAGCGGAAATAACAGTTTTTTATCATTTTACCTATGCACAAACCTGTGCTTTTGAAATACATGTTCATATGATACTATAGACTGATTAAACTACAATATTTAGAATACAAATTTTTGACTGGGTATCTGTGGACATCTGTTTCTTATATTTAAGCCGTTTCTTTGTTAATCTTAATCTCAAACAAAGAACTGACACCATACACATTCAGGTTACAGATCATTCTATCCATCATTCCAGGAAAGAATATTTGTAGGATCATCTTTATTTGTTTGATTAAAACTGGTATTTTACTTATTATTTTTTTTCTATTTATAATTCCATCAGATACATAAGTATGAACTCACAAGAATCATTCACACACATATCCTCCCCACTGCTGTAGTTCTTTCCCTTGGTTTTCAGGTTGATCTTCACGGGGCTTTCCTTGTTGGGTTTTAGAATCAGACTGAAGATTTGTTTACCAGTCCAAAGTCTACAGGGCTGAAGGTAAAATGACAGAGTCTTTAATTAGTCTTTCATATCACCTAAAAACTCAATACCAAAAAAAACAAAAACAAGCAAAAAATTATCTATCACTTTTGGTAGACAACATATTAAAAAGAAGTAATTTTTCATGCTTTCCTGTAATTGCTTTAAACTTTTGGTTTGGGCCATTTTGCTCATTCCAAAGAGAAAGAGAAGCAAACAATGCACTGCCCCATAACAATCATATTTTTATATTTTTTACATGACAAGAAAACAAAGCTCCTTACTTTCATAATAGCTGGAGGTGGAAGATCTATTTTCAGATTACTGTCACCCCCAGAGAGCAGAGAGGCAGCCAGTTGTACTGCCTTGCTTCTATCAAAGAATATATCCTTCTGTGTAATGAGGAAGCCCCCAGTGATAAAATCCTGTATGGCAGCTATGAGAGGTTCACCGTTCCTTGGAGTTACTATGTTGGACTTGGACTACAGAAAGATCAAAGCAAAAATAATTATCTTTATTAAAGAATGATCATCTTCATTGATCACAGTCTGTGGCTTGAATCTGAAATTTTTGCCAAATCTATAGAAATTCTGAATTTACATAAAAAACAGAAATTTTAAATTATTATTTCATTAAGCTCACCCAATATCTCAAGTTATGTACTAAGATCATGTCCTTAAATATTAATATTAAAAACAAAAAGACTAAGAAAAAAGACCCTTACCCCCATGAGTATGAGGGCTTCTGCCTTGGCTTCCTCAGTTTGTGGCAGATGCAAGTTCATCTCGTCGCCATCAAAGTCGGCATTGAAAGGATTACACACGCACTCATTGAACCTGAACGTCTTGTGGGGCATCACCTTGGCCTGGGGGGAACAGTTTATTACAGAGTTAAAAAAGATTTAAAAAAAAAAATATATATATATATATATATATATATATATATATATATATATATATATATATATATATATATATATATATCATCTGCGTCATAAGACACTGCTGGCCAATATTTGTGAACTGCAAGGTATATTTCTACACAAAACAAGAGATAGTGAGATGAGAAAACAACAATGTTCAGATGAAATATTATCTAAGTCAATGAATTCTAATATCCATCAGGGGTATCCATTATTTTTTGTTGGAAGACGGTCAAAAATTGAAGACGAATTAACAAAGATAATTTGGAAGACTGTCAGAAAATATCTCTGGATCCGCCCCTGTCCATTGTAGTGATACTTACAAAGCATAAAAATGTTAAATCAATACAAAATCTCTTTCCAACTGTTGGTAATTTACTTTAAAACTTCATCATCATAGTTTCTTTTGAATCAGCTTTATTATACCCATTCAATCTCGACAAATTTTACACCTCCACTTACAAAGAAAGCCTGAATACTAAGTTTGTGCAAGGAAGGTTGTCTGTTAAAGAGAACAATGTCTCCATCCAGTAGGTGGCGCTCCACTGTGTCCCCATACTTCAGCTCTTGGGCGATCTTTTGGCGGTTCCCGTATTTCAAAAATCTGTGGTAAACATAAACTAGATTTTTTCACCAACTTATTATACTTGTTTTCTTTTTGTGTAAAACGAGATTAGGCCAATACAAAGAATAGATACCAACTAAAACATAAACTGCACAGATGATTCTGACCTTCGGGTTCAAATTCAAGCTAGGTTTGCTACCTAGTGGTAAATAACAAAGGATATATAGCCTTGACTTCTACAAACTTAATCCAAGTATATGTCTTTCAACAGCTATCTATTCATTACAAATTATTCATCATAGGACAAAATATTTATTATCAAAGACAATATTCTAAGAATACCTAAGAAAATAAAACTATTATCCAGAGACATCATGGGTATTATAAAGCCAAGTCAGCCATGTTACCTTTTCACATTGGTGTCTCTCTGCTGTATGAAGTTGGCCCCTGGGTGTACATCACAGCCGTTCATGACCAGTTTTCTCATCAAGTTCATGTTAGCCTTGTTCACTCGTTCTGGGTACGTCAGGATTTTGGCAACATGCTCTGGGACCGACACCTGTCATGAAAATGCTAAACTTAATTCCACTGGCATTTGCAATTTTATAACCTGTGCTATTACTTCAATTATGTTATATCCAATCTTCTGATCTTTTTCTTTAAAAAAAAAGTCACTAACAGCAGTAAGGTGGCTAGACAAAAAAATGAATAAAATCCTCTGCCTCTCAAATTTAATGGTAAACCTTAAATTCAACTATCAAAACCATATATCATCCCAATATTCTCAAAACAAAAGCCAAGCTCCTTCTGTGAAAATGATCTTCTATTCACCTGATCTATCCTCATATTGGGGTCTGGTGAGATCACCGTTCTACTGGAATAGTCCACCCTCTTTCCAGACAGGTTGCCACGGAAACGACCCTGTTTGCCCTTCAGCCTCTGACAAAACCCTCTCATTGGATGACGAGGCTACAAACAGAAGTCAAATTATAATCTCAATTAAAAGTGGAAGATTAATCCTTTAACTAATTAACTATGCTTGCATAGTATTTTTTTCTTTATTCTGCCTGGATTCATTCCAGTGAGTCACCATAATATTGAGAAATCAGCTCCTGGGTGACTGACAGATGTAGATACCTGCATGTTTATTGGAATTCCGGAAGTTTCACTGTTGTACAGTAGCGCCACCTGCAGCTGCAGAAAATCCCAGTCTTCCTGGAAACAACAAGAGAAACTTCATCAAAACAAATAAATAATTTTCACAAGTTCTTCCAAATGAAACATTATCTGAAATACCACTAGTTAATTACTTTCCAAAACATAAATATACCACATAAAATTAAAGAATTACTAATCTGAAAATACATGAGATTGCATCTTTAAAGTTGACCATTTAAGTCATTTTTTAAAAAAACATGAGAAAAATGCCTTTTCCCTGTACCTTTAATCTAAATATTACTGTATATGTAAATTCTGCACTATTACAATGGCATAGGAAAAACAGTATAAGATTTTTTGACTTTGAAAGATGTCACTGACCATAATCATCTGCATCTTGGCTCCTGTTGCTCTGTGTTTCTGGATGACATCATTGAGAAATATGATCTCTGTTATCTTCATAGTAATGTCATCTTCGTTGCTAAATAAAGCACACAGATTAAAATGATCTCAACCAATTTTAAAAATACACCAATCATACAGCATCTTGCACTTTCTTTTTTCCTATGTAACCTCTAAATGACAATTTAACTCACCAATTTTCTTCCTGAAAACTTGAGCCAAATGGTTTTTCATTACTAACAAGGCCATGCTATCAACAGTAGCAGAATCTAAATTTGCAGTTGTAGCAATAACTAACTAAAATCTGTTAAAAACATATAAGGTGCCCAAAAGAGAAAAATACTGATCTCATAGAGAATAGCACTTGTCTGCTTTAATTTACAAAGATATGACACAAATAACCTGAAAACATTCTTTTCATCATAACAGAAAACCTAAACAAATTTCTAGATTATGGAAATAACTGCACACAAATTAATGATGAAAGAATACTTTATCTTAGCTTTGAAAAAATGTATTAAAAAATCTCAGAAATTAATATTCGAGGACTCACGTTCCAGCCTTGAGGTCGGAGACCACTGAAGGCCTTATACACAGTGGGGGCACTAGTATTCTGGTCAGTATTAGATCCCTGGGGTGTCCACTGTCTGTAGTCATTAATAACAATGGTATGTCCTGTAAGTACACATATATATGTAATGAAGACAATATTTGTGTTCTAGATTTAGATTCATGAATATCACAGACAAGTTACAATTTATACTTGTCAGTAGTTATATAAAGGTATTTTTATTTGTTTTTCACAGCTATTTTTACAAAGAATCTAAGGGGCTTTTTTACCTAGTTAGTTCATAAATCTTTTTTATATTATCTATTAATCTTAATTAAATTTGGAGTCAGAGTGAGTGTCATATCAGCATTACAAACTTACCTCATCAGGCAGCCTGTCAAAGAGATTAAGTACCACCAGGGGGTTCAACATGTCCTGGAAACAAGACAAGATACTACAACAGGATGCATGGTTACAGTTGCTAAGGGAGCTTGCTGATAGACACATGGTACTAGTTGGGTTGGTCCAATTCTGCAGGGGCTCTTGGTAAGTACAATCAGCTTAACTTGAGCGGCTAGAGGGGCATTGTTTCTGGGTTAATTACCGGCTAGATGCTTGAGGAGGAATGTCAGACAATTATGCTAATTCCACTGATTGCACTTAACGAGATATTGGATTTAACTTAAAAATCAAAAATATATTTTGATCCAAAATTAATCAGTTGTAATCTTAAGTGAGTATATTGCATCTGGTGTACAGAAGAGAACTGACCAGTATTTTATGGCTAATACTTGCTCTACTCCCCAAGTGTGCTGGTATTTTAGACTAATTGTTACTTTATGATTAGTTTAAAAAAGCTTGCAATTACATTCTTTAGTAAAACGGGACTTGAACATGAAGTGTAGGGCACCTTTAAATAATACACAGTTACTAATCATAAATTTATATTTACAATATAACCGAAAAAAATTAAATGAGCCCCTGAAAACACCAATCAACTTTATTTGTAAACACACCAACCTGTGCTTTACTAAGAAGAGGTTCAATGTCTTTGTTTTGTTCCATGGCCTCTTCAAATGAACCGAGAAATTCTACTACGGCTGGGTCTTGGTTTTTCTTGGTTTGCTTGTATCTATCATGGGATATTTTCAACATTCCACATTTTTTGACTGTGCCTAAAAAGGAAAGACCGTTAAAGACCTTGTTCTGTCCTAACGAAAGAAAATTTTCCTCTCTGTGTACTTCGGAAATTATACTGCAGCAGATGTAGGAATAAAAAGAGAATTCAAAACTGTTAACTTAAGCACTATTTAAATTGGTGTTCAAATGAAATATTTGGGCAGATAACAAGTAATGTCTATATACACCAACTTTCTATTACTTCGCGCCATCAAATCACATTTTTGTTAAAGCAATCTGTTCTACCATTGTATGATCCACAATATGGACAATTGGCATTTTTCTTGGCTTTCTCCATGATCTTTTTCTTCAGCATCTTCTTTTGTAAATATGTCATTCCTGGACGCTTGAGAACTTCTAGGAAATGTTTTCTGTCATTATCCTGAAGAAGTATTCTACTGCAAGTCTAAAAAGATAAAAGCAACATGATTATTTGGACAGGAAAGCAAACAATTTGGACCATTAACTTATTTGAGATATTTTCAGTGAATGAAAAAGATTCTTTCCTTTTAATTTTTTTTTAAATGAAACTTTTCGCAGTAACATTAAAATATCTAAGTGCAGCAAAAAAAACAGACCTAAAAATCAGGAAAAAACTTTAAAATAATATATAAATTTAAACTTGACCTGGCTTAAACTTCTATGGACAAATCCTGCAAGTTTAAAGCATGAAAATGTCTTCACCAACAAATCACAGTACCTTGCATATAGTTTGTAATATAGTTATACATGTCCGGAAGTAGCCAATATGGAAGACAGGTAGTTCCAGGTCAAGATAGCCATAATGTCCCGTACAGTCAGCCAGGTTCTTGCCACATGTATCACAGTTATTGTCCTTCTCACTGGTGCCCTAGGATAATATAGAGTTAACATTGAAATCAAATGAGACATAGTGATTGTGCTTCGAAAAGATCTTCTTTTTATTGAGCCTTCTATCCAGGCTAAATCTTAAATATTTATTTTTTCCTTTAATATTTTCCTACATTTTTGATGAACCACAATTATAATCAGTTTTGCTGTATTCTGAAGACAAAATTCAAGAAATCAAAATTTTTTTCTATCAAATAGTACACATCAGAAACCATAAATGGGAGTGCTGTGTGTAAGTCTGTATGGGAAAATTTCATTTTTAAAAAATTCTAGGACCCTCAAAATATTTGCTAAAGAAAGCCCTGAAAAAGAGCAGCTTCCTGTTGTTGGCCAAGTCTGACATTTTGTGAAAAAATCTAAAAATATGGCTTGAGATCCAATGGGCTACATTGGCCAATGATATTTTTGGCTCCCCAAAGTTGGAAATTGGGAAAATCTCATCCCTGCATTAATCACCACTGACCATTCTATGATCCAGCACACCATAGGGAACTGGCTTCCTACTGCCATCCTGCATGTACAGGTTCTTACTGACAACATGGATGTGGGCTTGCTGTCGCATCTGCTCCGAGCTCAACAAACCAAAACGCACATGGCTTCTGAAATGGCAAAAGTTATAATAACCTGATAAGAAGTTGGTATCTTTTTTTCAGACTGGTTTCATTTTGTCAGCCCAGTTTTACTCATACATCTGTATTGTCCTCAAATTATTTCAAAATTATTATTTTAAAAATATTTTTTTACATTTATTTTACATTATATAATTTATTTTAATTATATTTGTTTTAAAAAAATACACACCGTAATTTACACATGCACCTTCCATTTACTGAATAGAAATATCCATCCAACTTGTGTCATTTATTTTTATGTGCTTATAAGATTTTGCTCTAGTAACTGACTATGTAATTCCCTCAATGACATCGATTAATGCTTACATTTTCTTCGCCACATCTGTTTCTCTGAACTGTTCTTTCACCATAGTTGACTGGACTTGACTTGCCTTCACGTGTACAGGGGGTTGATAACAATACTGCAACCGCTTCGCACTGTGGTTGTAACTGTTAATAATCACTGAAAGAATATCACGCACCTAAAATGCTTATTAGTATCAAGTCATATTAGATTAACAGAGAACTGCGTTACTACACTGGGAACATTGCATCAAAGTTTCACCTCACATTTCGACCATTGACTATACTCTCTAACACTTGTCAAGAGTTAGCAGCCGCTCTGCACAAGATAACATATAATGCTACATGAATGCAAATAGTCTACAATCTTTTTTACCATAAAAAGTTCAAAGTGAAGTAATATAGAATTCTAAGTCAGTTGTGTTTTCTCAGAACAATATAATTGGGTTTGAGACTATTCAGGAAGCCCATATAAGTGAAAACGAGGTTGCCGACGTGGGACGCCATCTTTGTGGTTAAAGCGCGAGACTAGTAGACAAGTCCATTTGTTTTCAGCATATTTTAGTCTCAAACATACTGACTTGAACGACCCAAGAGAGGCCAAGGCACAATTGTTGCACAAAATGGCTAAAAGAGAGGCAGACTTCGGTCGTAAGTATGCAATCACATTGAATTTGTAAGATGCTCCTGAAAACGTTGTAAAAACGTGGGTAAGAGATCGTGACTTTGTGCGTAGAATTGAATGGAGTGGACCAGTAGGCGTGAATCTTTGCTTTTTCTATTTGGTTATTTCGGCTCTTAATTTATTTAATAATTAAGAATATAATAATATATCCAAGCGTTGTAAATCGGCTTGGGTAAATTTTATTATCATTCAATTTCTTAGAATTTGTAAGAAAAAATTGGACTTGTTATAATGCTCATTTAATGTGACCAAGCACTTTGTCATTTTCTTTTCGAGGTGCTATTTAACACCTTTAAGAGGCACTTAGTACTTACTACCTGGGTCACTGAATAATGAAACAATTCAGTTTTTAATGAGTCAGATTTTTTCTAAATATTATATAGTCAGCCGGCAGGCAAGTGTATAGGAATCATTTATGTGGTCTTTATTCACTCTGTCATTTTATCAGAGTCCACCAACTGGCCACCTGATAAGAAAAAGAAGCGCCGCAGCAGATGGGGAGGTGACGACGCAGAGAAAACTTTCATCCCAGGCATGCCTACAGTAATTCCAACTGGTTTAACCATGGAGCAAGAGAAACAGTACCTAGGTAAGCATCAACTCTTAAACAGTTCTGTGAAAATGTACAGGTATTAAGGTAACTAAGTAGGAGTTGGTAGGAGGGAAGTTGGGGGGTGGGGAAGATGTCCGTGGGGTCAGGGTGCATTTTTGCCTGCAGAATTTTTTCCTTGTTTACATTGGGCTGAAGTTTTTAAAAGGGACTCTTTTTAATCACCATCTAATTCTGAAAGGTCTCATTTCAGCTTTTGTTTTTTTTTTATGTTTGTTTTTTTTTTTTAATGACAAAATATAGAACAGAAAGTGCCTATTTTTCTGATTTTTGTCATTATTATTATTTTGCTCAGCTAGCTTGCAAAAGTTTGAAACTGACTATTGCATGATCTTAACTGATTTTTTCCTGTTGCTATAGGTTGGATGCCAATTATTCCAATCAACATGTGAATAAGTTTTATTATTTAAGTAATTAACTTATAACTCATTCAATTGTAATCCTTTAGGTTTAATCATACATTTGATCCTTTAGGTTTAATCAATTTTTTTATTTAGGCATAATTAGATTTTCTCAGAATTTCAGATTATTTTCGCAAAAATTTACCTAATTGGAGTAATTTGATATTTTTGTGCTATTTTGAGCAATTTTCAGAATTTTGGTAATCATCCAAGTTTTGGTAAGTTTGTAGGTTATGTATTTAAAAACCTTCCCAGGCTTTCTTATGTGCTCATGGCTGAAATTACTAGATCAGCAAACCTAAACTTTATTTACTTTCACCAATCGCCTTCCCAGAAATTATTGTCTGTTCAGATATCAACTTTTCCTAAAATGTGCATCTGATAACATGGAAAAGACAATTATGAGTTCAAATTTCTAATGTTTCTTTTTTATCTTTCTTTTTCTTTATGTTTCTTTTTTTTAATAGTGCAAAAGCAATAAAAAGAATTCTAAAAAGTAGTTTGTCTCAAGATTTATATCTGATAAGAGAAAACATTCTGAGCCTTAAGTAAAGCCTGGCATAAGATTGTGATGTGACAAGTTTCCAAACCAAATAAGTGCCTGGACTTTAGTTCAGTTAAAGAAGTAAGGGGCTGGGGAAGGGAAAAAAAACATTTAGGTCTGGAAATTTATACATATTTCCTTATTAATGGCACTTGCGTGGTTTGGTTTTAGGAATGGTTCTTGACAAATGCCTTTCAAGATAACTACAGCATTTTCTGAAAAATAATTACCTTGCTTTTCATTACGATGACAAACAATAGTTTTGACACAATACTTAAATTTGCCAAATTTATATTCATTTTGTTAGAACCATTGCTAAGAAATATGATTTTTATCAATGTCAGATTTTTCCATTGGAAAGTGTATTAACGGGACTTTGTCCCTATTCTAACCCCTTAAATTCCAGTGCACCTGCAGATCGAGGAAATCAGTCGACGGCTACGGACAGGGGACCTGGGCATACCAACTAATCCTGAAGAAAGGTTTGGCAGATAACAACTACCTTCTCCTTTACCAAAGCAGAGACGCTGCGCCATTCAGCGGCAACACTTGTAGAACGGCACAGAGCTTTAAAACAAACAAAACAAATGTTACCAGATCCCGTAGCGTGTCACCATGATCAGCACTTTAAACCAGTGAAAGGCATTTGAGTGGAGTGGAGATATATTTTTGTAGTTCTTACTTTCTCCTTCCTCATATAATTATGTCAGTTTTGTCTAAACATAATTTGCAGGCATTTTGATAGATTTTTTTACAGTTAATACTTGTGTTGTTACTTTGCCTTATTCATAGGAAAATTACACATAATGCTACAAATAGTGTAAGTTTTAAGACTTAAAATGAGTTTGTTAATAGTTGGATATCTGTATACGTAGACAGTGGTTGTGGGGGTGGTCCACAGTGAAATTTACATAATATAAAATTTAATTTATACTTAGAATTTTGCTCCAAAGAGATTTCTTTTGTAAACAGTAAGACTAAAGGCAAAGTAACAAGTTGTGGTTATTACGAAACAAATCATTGAAGAAGTCTGCTTTTCACTTCAAATGTCTTTCCTGATGAGGACAGGTATGGCTTTTGAATTCCATGTAATCATATCCATCTTCTTTTCCAAAGCATTGAGGCTAATGTATCTTTTTCTTTTGCTTAATTACAAAAGTTTTTATTCCTGAACTGTAGGTTTATGGAGGGAAATTCCTGGTCTTGCTTGTTGGCCGTGATTGCTTTATTGATTGATAAACTTGTGAAATGTCTGTAGTTAGATTATAACTGCATTATGCAAGGTACATTTTAACTATTAACCTTATTAATCCCCATAATTGTTTAGATGTAGTTTCCAGTTGTGTTCTGTTCCTTAGATATCAGGTTTAGCACATTTTTGGGGTAAAAAGTTTGGAAAGGTTTTTGTTGCAATACAGAAACATTTAATTGAAAATTCACTTGGAAATGAAGCAGTAACCATTTTTGGCACTTCATATTTTTTTTAATATAAATTTTCACTCCTAGCAGTAACCAGACTACCCTTACAGAATATTGCACTTTAATTTGTTGGGTGCATTGCAACTCTGATCCTTATTATCAGTTTTGTTTCATTTTGTATTTATTTTTTAAAATGCACACACACACTCAGAAAGCCACATGCTGGCTGTCAATCTAACCAAGTTTCTCTTTACAGAGTTATGGTTACATATGCATTCCCTATGTGATGGCTTTTCATTAATATTCAGTAATAATCATAATAATATACATGATCCACTGCTTTTCAGGGACACTTGATCTTAACAAAAATTTCATTCTAGCATGGGACAATAATAAACTCCTCTATTATTTTTTGGAGAAATAAACAAATATAATAAATAAATGGCATGATAAGTCTAGGTCTCCAAGAGAATGCTATATTTCTAATGTGCACATTTGGACTGGATTTCTTAAAAAATGCAGAGGGTCAGGCAGAGAAGAGAAACATTTTAGAACCAAGTTAGATAGAGTCAACTCGGTCCAAAAGGAAGACTTCTCAAGATATGAAAATATAAGTGTGAAAGTTATAAATAAAGGGGTTTGCTGTTTTGTAATAACTTATGGCTTAATTTTGTTTATTTAATTTTTTAATTCAGATAACTGGAAATGCAGAAAGTATTCAATGAGTCTTACAAAATTTTGAAAAATGTGGAGACTTGCAGTTGTTTTGATGATATTTCTAAGGCAAAAAGCTCATTATAGCAACTCATTAGAAATCTGATGGGTGTCATTCTTCATACAACAACAACAAAAAAGCTTGATTGTGAAATGTTTAAAAAAACAGTCAAACTTTGGAAAATAACGAGGCTAGAAGACTGTCTGCAAGTCCAGTGTGCTCCATATATTCCACAGGCTATATTCCTATTGTATTATTACTACTGTTGTTTTCACCACCAGATCTCCATCTCCTGAGCCTATCTACAACTCTGAAGGCAAGCGACTGAACACAAGAGAGTACCGTACCAGGAAGAAACTGGAGGAAGAGAGACACGCCCTCATACAGGATGCCATGAACCTGAATGACGAGTACAAGCCGCCTGCAGATTACAAGTAGGTAGAAAACTTATGAACAGGGTACAATGCATGGCGTTTATTGGTATTTTCCAATTTTGGAATAGAAGGTGGTCCTAAATTAATGTTAAAGGAAAACAGGTTGTATTGAGTAAGGCTGTGCAAGTCTTCTCAGAAACACATTAGCATAACTTAGTTTCAAAGTTCTTAATCTGTGTGATATTTTTACTGCAGATCTCCAGTTAACTGAGAGAGCAACAAAAATTCTGCTAACAATTCAGGGTTGATTTCTATTTTATTTTTGTCTTTCAGACCCCCTATTATTAGAGTGAGTGACAAGGTGATGATTCCACAGGAAGAACACCCAGATATCAACTTTGTAGGACTTCTCATTGGACCAAGGGGAAACACACTGAAAAATCTAGAGAAGGATGTAAGTTTTTTTTTTCTTTTATTTTTGACCCCTCAACAGTACTGTTAAGAAAGTTATTACCTGGTGTTAAATTTAAAAGAAATGTTAAAAAAAAAGAAATCAGAACACTGATGTTAGTTCATTAGTTCAGAACCTGTTTATATCCATAAATAGTTAGATTTTTTTGTGCAAGAAATAATTTTTACTCCTTTTATCACTTGCACAGACTGGAGCCAAGATTATAATAAGAGGTAAAGGTTCAGTAAAGGAGGGGAAGATAGGACGTAAAGACGGACAGCCTCTGCCTGGAGAGGATGAACCCTTACATGCCTATGTCACTGCTAACAACCCAGAGAATGTGGCCAAGGCAGTGGAGAAGGTGAGTGGCATATTCTGTCAGCTATTGGAAATAGTGAAAGCTCTAGAAGTGTTTATTGTTTGAAAGAATCCATCTCAATTTTTGACAGAATTGATCAGTTTTTTTTTACATCCTTTTCAAATGAAACCATTTTATTCGGCTTTGCTTTATTTCTTAAGCATGTAAATAATTATGTAGAGTATAAGCTTAATGAGTACACTTTCTAAACAATTATTTTTTTTTTGATACAATATTTAACACAATTATTGTTCTTTTTTTAGATCAAAGAGATAATCAAACAGGGTATAGAAGTTCCTGAGGGTCAGAATGATTTAAGAAGACAACAGTTGAGGGAGCTGGCCTTGCTCAATGGTACACTGAGGGAGAATGATGGACTGGCGTAAGTTGTAGATCCCTTTCCATTGAACAGCTCTGAATCCTGACGTCAGATGTGTTATTAAGAAATGAATGAACAAAAGTTGGGTAGATTATGTCAGCAGTTAAATGTTCAGTGTCTAGTCAGCATTTTTGAATTTTGTTTTTCAGTAAATGTGCATAATTCAGCTAACATTACATGTTTGATCTTGTCCATTTTTATGTACAGACACAGATGTGTCTGTACATATAGCCATCACCTGCGTCTGTCGTCGCCGTCGCCGTGCACTTTTACCGATAACACGATAAGTGGAAAACCGTTTTTTCTTTTGGTTTGAAACTTACAGAATTGATGAATATTCATAATACGCAGGTCAAGTTCGAAAATCAGCATGATCGGGCCATTTTTAGGGAATTTATGCTGTTTTTTCACTTTTTTCAGCATATATGCAGCACCGNGACAGCTTTGCTGTCTTGTTTGTCAGTGTTTTCACCATTATTCTTTTTTTTTCGTGTGCAGGAAGTTAAAACAGCTTCAGCAGGCCCAGACCATAGTCACCAACACTATCATATGTACAGTGTGTGGTGGGGCGGGACATTTAGGACAGGATTGTAAACAGAAAAAGTAAGTTATCAGATAGTCCTGGTTGGTCTTCTCAGTCACCATGGGCTGTTTTGACTACCAGGTCTGTACTTCTACAGCAGATACAATTTATTAATTAAGGCAAAAAAGTTATGAACATAAATAAAGAAACCAAAAATAAAGGCTGTGTTGTGGTGTGCTGTTCAACACGAAATCATATTTTTATACCATTTTGCATAAAAGTGGAATCACGTCAAATATCATCATAAAATTAAGGGAATTGCTCTTGAATTCTTTCACTTTCTCTCCTCAAGGCCTGGTGATTCATTCCGCAACCTGACAGCCATGGCCCCCACCCCTATCGACAAAGCTAAGATGGACAGCGAGTACATGTCGTTGATGGCAGAGCTGGGGGAGGGACCGCCACCAGAACAACCCAAGCCACAGCCTCCACAGCACCCACAGTTCAATACTAACCCACCACGGATGCCATTTGGAGGACCCCCAAGTCATCAGCCTCAGGTAAACACATGATTTTTATTCTTTTGTCTATTTTAATCAATATGCTAGGTTGAGTTTACCTGGATAAGTAGCTGGGTTTACTCTACTAGGATAATTGAAAAAAACTGAAAAACTTTTTCTTTCATTTTCCTTTTACCATTTGTATTGGTTGCGGTGCAGAATCTTTAAATAGTTTTAGGGACTGTCATTGGATTTAAGTGACTATAAATATTAGTTAAACATTAGATTTAAGAGTTCATTGAGAAGTCCATTTATGGAAAACAGTAGCTTATCTTCAAAATTGTATGATCTAGATTTGTACTCTGGTGGTTGTTGTGTAATAACTTTGTTTCACGTATTTTAGAATGACTTTGCTCCAAGGCGCAGTCGGTTCAATGAGCCCCCTGGTGTAGCCCCTGGGGGTCCACCTCCACACTCCACAGCTGGCTCCTCACTGGTAATATGGCACCCACACACATCTGTGTTTAGATTAGAAATGTATTTTTTAAATGTTTTGGTAAAAACCCATCAAATTAACAGGCGGAGATATTATTTTATCATATGACATGGAGAATATTATTGCATGTACATTTTAAATGACTGTTATCTGGGCACAGTTTTGACATCACAGGATAGTGCTATGCTGTGGACAACACTATTCATAAGATGAAATTATTATCTTCCATCCTGCTAGAATAGCAGTCATTGGATAGCAATATCAGAGACCAAAAAATATACAGATTTTGTAAAAACAATACAAAGTTCACTCCTATTCCAAGAGGCTTAGTTAAAGATATACGTTGCTCTGTTTCAGCTGAACCCGCCTTGGCTACAGCAAGCACAACAGCAACAACAGATGTTACAGGAACAAGAGAGAATGCGTCAACAGTCACAGCAGCCTCCTCACAGCCAGCAACAGCCTCCTTCTCTGATGAATATTCCAGCCCAGCCCACAGGGACCCTGTCTGGACAGACCCCCCTGGGCATGCCACCCCCTTCCACAGCAGGCAGTATGCCCCCCTGGCAACAGCAGCAGCAGAGTACTACAGCAGGTAAAGAGCCTAGAATACTTAGTGGTTCTTTCTGAATACTTCCTTTTTTGTGATCATGGGTGACGGGTCATACAGAAATGGTTTCTATCCACCAATTTGCTTTTGTTTTATAAAATTTGCAAAGTTTTTTTTTTTTTTTGCCAAATTGTTTGTCAATGACATGACTGCAGCACTTCATATCAGATGTAATGATGGTAAGTCTTGTATTGTGTTATTACCCATTCAAGTTATGGATATGTAAGTGTTTAACTTGCTCTGAGACTGTCTTTGCTCCTTTTATTTAGGCGGCTCCACTCCACTGTTGTCAGCGCCCCCTCCACCCCCGCCTAGTATGACCTCCTGGCAGAATAACACAAGTAAGGACAGCTGAGGGGAAAATTTGTACTCCTGTAGCAACGCTTTCTTAGTAGCTGGGATCAAGTCATGATAAATGCTGTAAATTGATTAATTTTGAACAGTTTTTCAACTATATTAACAACAGTTTTTTGTAATAAGTTCTTCTGAATAACCTTTATTAACTGAGGATTTGACTGTAATAATCTGTAATTTTTGCCCAGGATATCTCAAAATTTAGTTTCTTTTTCATTTACTTTCAGACACATCTGGTGTACCTCCTCCACCTCCAGGCAGTATGGGGTCCAGCATGCCACCGTGGCAGTCAGGGCCACCCCCACCCCCAGTACCCCCTGTACAGTACCCCTGGCAGCAGGCACCACCTCCACCAGCACCAGTGGCACCACCCCCACCCCCACCCTCCTCTCAGGCTGGCTTCAACCCCATGGCTCCACCACCACCCCCTCCCTCAGCTGGTAACAACTATGGTGGACTGCAGGGGTTGAACCCTCTCCTAGGGGCACCGCCCCCACCCCCGCCAAGTTAGGGAGAGAACTTGTAACTGTGAGGAAGACACCCATTATCATTGCTGATGCCACTTAGTAGGCTGACATCTCTCTTGACCCATGTTGTGTTTCAGATTATTGCCACTGGCTGAGGATTTATTTTGGATGCATATAGTCATTCTCCATTTGTACAGATTTTGATACATTTTCTTTGATGTCAGATATTAATTCTACATATTCAATTTATTTGAAAAGACCTAATATTATCACACATTCTAGTCCAAGTGAATTTTTTCTTTCAAAGAATTATGGATGCCCGTTGGATATCTCAAATTTTATTTATTTTTTTAATATAGCTAATGTGGCATATTCAGGTCAAATAATGAGTATCTAGCACAATTAGGGTTTCCTTACAAAGGCATTCTAAACAGTAAAAGGAAATAGGCCAGAATTTGATTATTGGCAAATTTCTGGTATTTTTGAAAAAATGCTGATACTGTCTTCAAATCTAGAACCATTGTAAAATCTTATCATGAATATTTTCAAACTTATTACTTTGGCCAAGATGTGTCTTTTAATTCACAACATGTCACTAAGACCATTTCAGTGTGGAATTTACTAGAATTTTCAGTTTAAGTTCCATTTATAAAGCAGACTGGTCTGCTCGGACAGATTTGTTTGGATGTTAGTAACCAACAAAATGATGACATAATTTATTAGGTATTGCATAGACACCTGTGTGAAACAAATGTACAGAGAAATTCATTTGTTATGATTGAAAGGGATGAAAGTATATAGACGTTGGTTTTTATATGATAGGTTATTTACATCCATTAGGTGGTTGATTCTTGTCAGAATTAAACTGTAATTGTTCTATTAATCAGAGTGATGTTATGACTTGTAACTTCTTTGCATTTGCCTTGATATATTTCACTGCTGCAGCTGATGAGAAAGTGAAGCGTTTATGATCATAACAATTCTATTTTGATGTTGAAGAGAAGAAATAAATATGTTTTGTGTAACTATTGTTGTTCCTGTATTCTCTGTATTGCTGTTTCAGTTGCATTCGTAATATTGACAGAAGTTTTTTTTTTTTTTTTTTTTTTTTTTTTTTTTTCACAAAAATACAAACAAAAATACATATGTAGATACACACACACACACACACACACA